AGAAGTTTGAAATTAATTACAAATGATCATCTTATTCCCAAGAAAGGTTGACGTCAGACAGGCGGCCGGTCGTAAAACTTTTGCCAAATCCTATCAGCAGTACAGAAGATGTACTGCGTCGACCCCAAGTGATTGGGAAATGGGCAGGGAGAAGAAGAAGAAGAAGAAGTTAATCTTAAGTTGTTTTCTTTGTATTCAGATCAGTGATTTAAAGGGTAACGCGTAAGTGCTATGTTATTAAGGATATATGCTACGTAATTAATAAACCGGTAAAATCTTTTAAGGTTATATTTCAAATTTTCTTAATTTGCAATAAAAAAAAAGCTATACACATGCACTATTAGTATGATTTAACCGATTAGCGAAATGCAAAATCGAAAAACTAACTACTGCAGCCTAAGTACATTATAATTATTATGAATTGAGTTTACTTTAGTATCAAAAATCACATATGTTAATTACTCACACAGCTACATGCTTATGTTTTTTATTGCTCAAGATATAAGATTTTTAATTAAGATTAGATTTTGATGTACATTTTAGTGCTTTGGTTCATTTATTAGTCTGCTTGAATTGTTTCCTGAGCTCGCAGTCTATTACGGCATGGATATTGGATAAGCCTTTGTATGTTTTAGACTACAATATCTTACGATCAAGTTGGTTCAAAAGTGCGTGTAAAAGAGTAAATAATGGAAATTTCATATTGAATTCGCTGTTTAAAAAGGCAACGTCTCCACACTGTCGAAAAACAGAAAACAGAATACGGAAGAATCGGACTATAATTTTATTAAAGCGAAAATTTGTATGTGCGTAAGTATATGTGAATATATATTTTTTACTAATACACATTGAAAGATCTGAAGGAATTTGGATGCTTAGCACACAGTAGACTGATCTAAAAGATCATATAGCTACTGTTATTCACTTAGGGACGCACCAGAGCGAAGCGAGAGTAAGTCGAAGAGTAATATTTTTTTTTTAGTATTCTAAATGCTAACTCATGCTAAGTATCTCTACTCACCTTTGCACTTTTATAAAATAAAAATTTTATGTTATTTTTACATAAATCTATTATTAAGAACCTTGTGGTTTCTCTTGTATCCTTGAAATTATATTATTTTAAACTTACACTATTAAGAGTCAGTTTCATTTTATACCGCGAAGTTGAAGCGCATTTAATAGATTACTTTAATATGACAACTTTTTCGATCCTTAGCTAATGAAATTTTCCTATGCTTTCATTCAATCATCCAACTGCGGTACGAAGCCCTACAGCCCCTAAATTAATTTGATTAAAATGGAAGCAGATGCGTATTATTATTCAGTGACAGCTAAAGTAGTTAATAAAAAATAATGGCTATTTTAATTCATCAACATTCTAGGACATGTAATTTTTAACCAACTTCCAAAAAGGAGGAAGTTCTCAATTCGTCAGAATCTTTTTATTTATGTATGTTCGCCGATTACTCGAAGACGCTTGAACCGATTTGGTTTTTTTTTGTTTCAAAGGGTTTTTTATTTATACTTCTCAGGTGGTCCCGTGTAAATTTTATCGAAATCGGCCGAGCGGTTTTTTAAAAATCAACAATAAATATATATTTTTTTTAAATAAATTGTTTAATCGTATATGTTATTAAAAAACTTTCTTCTTACAAATTACCTGCTTATTACTACTACGTCTACACTAAAAATGGAAAAATAAAAACTTAAATTATATTTTACATCGGCTGGCACCGACGTCGAAAATAACTGATTACATATATTCTAAATGAAAACCTCCGTTTAGTTATTTTTTTATATTTCAGTGTCTGGGAGTCGGTTTTTTTAAGTTTTTACAACTATGACGATAAGGGTAATTTGTGTGGTGCGTATGTATGTATTTTAAATAAACGTGTGTTTGTTAAACATATTAGAGTATATTTTATAATAAATTAATAGTAAAACAAACATTTTTATAAACAAGCTTTTATTTGAATTCTCTAAAAAGAAGAAAATAAACCGCCATATGGCGGCCGCCATATTGGATTTTGCATATTGTGTTTCGCTCATCAAGCCCTTTCATTTGATGCCCAAATCACAAGGGTAACTATGGAAATGATAAATCGCCATTCTGTAACTTCCGCTATATTAGATTAAAAAGGGCGGCATATAGGTAATTGTAAATTGTATCGGGAACAATTAGTTTGCCTTTCAGCTCAACCGGACACTTGGAAGTGGGTTGAATTTAACTTGCAAGATACCATTACACAGCCCGCTACATGTGAAACTAAATAAAAGCTGGTAAAAAGAAAATGTATTTTTTTATTATTCGTATAATATAAATAGTACTTTTATACTAATTAGTTTTGAAGTAATCATTCAGTTTTATGAAAGCACAACGTTCATTTTATGAATGACAAGAAAAAAAATATTTCTTAAAGAAGCTACGAAAAAAGAAAGTTAATTTTCAAATTACTAAACTACAAGAAACATGTAATTTTTTAATGTATTTTCTACAAAACAATTCGTTGAAGTCGTTTTGAAAATTAATTTATAATCTTTTAAAACTCCATAATAGTTGGCTTAATTTAAAAAGTCGCTTAGAAATATCTACTTCATTTTTAAAGACCTAAGTATCAAAAGATGTGCGTAGGTCCTAGTGTTTTATTTGTCTTCATTTTCTTATTCACATCAATCACACGGGAGGTAGGTGACCTGCTAAATTATAGCTATATAAAAGCAATAGTATTCAAGTAAAATGAGTGTGACATACGGACATGACGAATGAAATTAGAAGAGTTTTAGCCATACAAAATCCTTAATGTTTTTAAATGTCCATCAATCTATTTAAATATCAATAAAAGAAACACTTTATAATATAACAGAATTATTTTTTTCAAATATTTCTATACATAAATTTGTGACATATTCATAATATTATGTATTCAGATATGCTTTATAGTTAGTAGGTATAGCATCGAGACCAAACATATATGTTATTCTTGTTGAAGTTTGATCAAATGAATACTAGTAGTATTCTTTCGCTAAAACTCAAAAACTGCTAGACCAATTTCAATCATTTTGTTGTTGATTTATGGGGGGTGTGTGAGGGTTGGTTTGAGTATAAAAAAATAGGGAAAATTAAAAAAAAGTCAGGAGGAAAATCGAAAAATTTAGAACTGTTTATTTTGTACCCATGTATATGTAATAATAACCGTTAAAATGTACCTAGACACGAACCCGAGCGAAGCGAGGGTGAGACGCTAGTTAATAACAAATTTATTAATTTTAAATGCATCAAAATAAACTTGTAAGTATTACTATAAAAATCTATTTAATCAAACAAAATTCTCTCAACAAATATGTAAATATCTATTATTTAAATAATAAATCAGTAAACCAGTACGCAATATTAATTAGTACATTTTGTTTATCCATTGATTTTATCGGTACAAATAATATTTGATTTCCATTTACATTTATAAATTTTAAGCCTAGATTCACAAAGTACGAGCTTTTAAAATAAAACGGCTTTAACTGCAAACAAAAATAGCCGGCTATTTGTGTCCGAGTGCAAAACAAAGGCACACTTGAACTGAGGGTATACAGAGATGATGGCTGGTTAACGTCCGTCGTAGAATTTCAATTTAGAAATGTAGGTGCCTTCCACCTTTATTTCTTTTAAGCACAGAATTCCTAATAAGTTATTTTCTTTTCTTTGTGACTTCTACAGTGTGCATGATTAAAGGTGTGTCTTCGTGTTTCGTAATAATACCAAAGTACTCGTTCATCTCGAGTTCTAGTCTCTAGACGTCCATATTAGCAACACATTTTTAAAAATATATTATATGTTTTACGTTTTCTTATAATGAATTAGCGATTCACTCAAATCTAACAGTTTAATTAAAGTTTCTTAAATCTAAGATTAACTGACGGAAAACTACTAACTTGATTATGAACCGTTTTGCTATATCTATACTAATGTTATAAAGATAGAAGGTAAAGTTTGTGAGTTTGTGACGTTGTAGGGGATGATCTCTGGATCTACTGAACCGATTTAGATGAAATTTACGAACCGATTTAAAAAATATAGGTAAGAAGATAGATTGGTACCCTGGAAAGGACAGGATGCTTTTTATCCCGGAAACATCCCTTAAGGGGATGAAAATGGGGATGAAAGTTCCTATGGGGAATCAATTTAGTTTTAGTTAGTTTTACTTTTATATAAAACAAGCTTTTGCCCACGGCTCTGCTCGCATAGTTTATTTGTGTATAATTTGCTTTGCTTCTAAAGGTCGGAATTTGTTAAAGAGCCTTAATCTTCCTCTATAAATAGGCTATAAAATCCAAATCGGGCTAATTGCCGAGATTAAGACGTTTAAAAAACAATTTCTTTAGATTAATCTCGTTAGCTAAGATTTCATTTTATAAAATCAATACTGTATGTATATCGCAATATACATACAGTATTAATTTTATTACATTTAAATGTAAAAAATGTAAAAGTCTAAATAAATGTAAGGTGACCTAAAGAAGTACGTATGTATATACACATACATACACATATTATGTACGTCACTTATATTTATTTAGTTGCAAATCCTTAATTTCATACTATTTGATACCCCTAACGTGGTCTGATTTTTGAGTTTATACAAAAATCATATAGAAAAATATTCTTAATTTTCCAATTTATTTCCTTTTTAAGCTTTATTCGAACTTTTACGAATATTTAAAAGAAAGAACCCAGTCGTTCTCAAGTGGAAAGGAAAGAAAGGCTTACCAACGGACAGAATTTTTTATTTACATTAATATAAATGAAGATAATATTTCTTTACTTTTTTTTTCATTTCGCTCTGTTATTTTTATTAGATTATTATTATAGAATATAAATCGTTAAATACTAAATGAAAAAATACAAGTAGCACAATTACACCATGACCTTCCTTGTAAAATGATACCATATATATTATATTTTTGTTCCTTAAAAACTTTCATTAAAAGCTTTGTTTTGTTTGCAGGGTTGGGAAGGAAGGACGGAGAATGGGGGTGAGGGAGCTGAGCCACCCCTACCAGCACATGCACCTCTGGACGCAGTCTGGCAACCAGTGGCTGGCACTAGGTAAGTCACTCACAATCAAAAGTGTTTTGGTGGCTACAAGAAATACTTGAATGTTTTAAATATTAATATTTATAATTAAGAAAATAATAATACTTATAATTAAGAAAATAATAATACTTGAGCAATTATAACATATACAAATTTTTATTGTGGGGGTTCCCCCTTACATGTTATCCTCCCCTAAATCCGGCCCTTCACTAACCTATTTCACACTACTTTACTCGCTTTAATATTGATGACGGGTTCAATAGGTAGTCGAGTATTCCCTCGTGCCGCACTTAGTATGTACCTGTTCCGGCAAATTGTCACGATAATTATTTATTCTGTTTGCGTGTGTGTAATTAGTGCAGATGGATCTGTCGCTGTGATAAAAGATACATTATTGACATCGATCTTTATAACGCTAGGTCACGCTAACACTTGTTAACCTAAATAAATATATAAAAAAAGCCTCAGTGTTTTGTTCTTGAGATTTAATTTACAGTTATAAAACTCAGTAATCCTCGAGGCAAAGAAATTCTTTATTACTTGGGATGAAAACTTTTCTAATCCCGCCTTCATGGCGGTACTTATAATACTGCAACCACCTGGATAAACTGGTTTAAACAAATAAGCATTACAGTGGCTAGCGTTATACCAATAAGTTACAGAGGCTATAATTTTAAAGGGAGCTCCTCCAACAAATTGGGAGGCATTAAATTTTACTGTTAAACGCGACAAATCTTGGCTTGAAGCCAACGATTGTTCTCTGTTGTTCGTTTGTTGTATTTATTTTCAAAATCTGCCCAAAACATAAATGACGTGGATGTCAGAAAGTTATAATTGAACCATTCAGTTGAAGAAAATTTAATTTGTGCTCATTCTATTTGGGCGATCTAGCTAAAGATAAAATTTTGTATCTACACTTCACTTGAGGGGTAGACAAAACATAGTAATCTTTTTTGCCATACAGGATATTCTTCTACAGTCGTATTTTGCGTGCTTTTTAGTATTACCCAACACGCTTTGTAGTACCTGATCGTGACAAATATGTACCCGTATCGTCATTATAAACATTCACCCTACACTACACACCCTAAAAATAACATGACACACGGATATTAGATGTGTCATTGTATCATTAAAATAAATTAAAACCTCTTCGATATTTAGAAATGTTCTGTTAAGAATTGGTTAGTTTTGAATTTTTATTAAAATACTAGCATTGCCTGCGGCTCCGCCCGCGTTAAGATGACCAAAAACCAAATTCCTAGGTTTTACGTATTAGTAAACTCTTACATTGCAGTTTTTGTATTTTTTCTCAGAAAAGAGACATTTTCCCGTGGTAAAAAGTATCTTATATGTTGACGAGGATAACCAGCTATCGCAATACCAAATTTCATCAAAATCCGTCCAGTGGTTTTTCTGTGATGCGGTAACAGACAGACAGACAAAAATTCTAAAACCTATAGATTCGGTCTCTGTATCGATAATGTTTATTTCAATAAGATTTCCCAAAAAATATTTAATATACAGATTCGGCTTAGTTACAATTTTATTATATGTATAGATTAGTGTTTAATGGAAATTTTACTTAGTCAAAAACGTAATATTCAGAAAAGCATTCTTTAAATATGTCAAAGTAAATAGGCCAGGTTTTGATAGATATATAAAGTATATCTCATTACCGAGGCGTTTGAAAATTTCATAAAAGAGAAGCGCTAACGAGGAGTAATGGTGAAAAAAACCCTTTACTTTAAAAGTTTCCTTTTCCAATTTGCTAACTGCTTGCCTCATTTTCACTCTGCTGTTGAACCATTTTACTGTGCTCGCTGTTTCCTGTTATTTTACCTAAATGAATGCATTGAAAACAAATTTTTATATTGTTAATATAAAATATTTATTTTTTATTTTTTCGTGTGCTTAGGACAATTTCATATTTCTAAACAATGGTTGTTACTTAATTACGCAGCATCAAATATTACGTTTATGTTCCGTTGTAGCTTACGGAAATCTTTAGGTTAGAAGTAAAATACAACATGATTTTTCTACAATGTCTCTCACTTTTCACTTTTCTACAAAATCTCTAAAAGGAAAATAACATAAATAATTTGGTATTTCATAATATTTTAATGGAAAGCAAAGATAATATGACCGCATATTTTGACCAAGTTTGAAAATACAAATATCCCATATTAAATTTAATTATTTCGTTGAAAGTATTTTGGAAGCTCTATAATTTTTTTACAGAATTTACCAGCGCATACATGAAAAGTTAGAGAGGGATAGAATCTGTAGGATTTTGAAAGCTTAAGTTAGTAATTATTAGCTTAAATATAAAAAGTCTTGAGAATACATCTATTACATATTCAAAAATCACAATCAAAATATTCATATACGTTTGTGGAGTATCAGTATCAACCAAGACACTTATCGTCTCACATATAAAACAGTACCTAATAGTCTCCGAATAATATGGGTATGATAGATGGATAGATCAACAGGTGGACAGACGGACAGACATTTCGAAATTATGTTTAAGTTACGTTTTTCCTTTTGGCTACAGAATCCTAAAAATAGGACATTGAATATATAGACCAGGGCTGAAGCCTTTTAAAAATGGTAAAAAGTGAAAAAAAAAATATATAGTAGGATGAAACCCACTGAAAAAGGAAGATAATATAACAAAAATGAAAGGAAAAATAATTTACAGGCGATCTGAGGTCGGCAAGTGGAAGGGGATGAGGGTTTAAGAGAAAAACGGTTTATCTCGATTTCCGGCAAAACTACAAGCCCTATGGAAAAAAGTTAAATGGCAAAATTGTAGGTAATAACAAAATCTACAACTTTTGTATTTACACTTTTTTGATGGAATAATAATAATAATGGAAAAAGTATAGGCCAGACCCTCCTAGCCCCTAATTTTCATACTAACTTTAATCTCGTCAGTGTTTTCATTCGGTTGTTTTATATGCCTGAGTTTGAACATAGCTTTACAAGGTGAGCAAAATATATGAAAAATATGATTATACACAAAGAAACTCTCCGATGTTTCTTTGAAGTTGTATTTATTTCGCGAGACGTTGGTAAAGTTATTCTTTGTAAAGAATTGAATGGCTTCAAAAATACGTTTGCGAAATTCATGGCATTTAACTTAAAGCACAAACAAAGTTACCTATTTATTTTTTCTATTGATATATAAATTTGTTTTTATTGACTGATATTTCTGTACCAAGACCAAACCATAGGATCTGAAGAGTTGATTTCATAATATATTTTTCTTATAACGACATAGGTAACCATTAAAGGATGTTTTAAAAAATAAATCCCACAAGGGGTTAAAGAGGACAGGCAGAAAAACACACACAATGGGAGGAGGAGTTTGTATAAAAAATAATTTTATGGCCTAATATAATTTCTGGCCTATTTAAATTATGATATATATATATATATATATATATATATATATTCTTTTCCAGGCTTTAATGCCTTAGAAGATAAAAGACATTGCCAGAAAACAAAATTATTAAAATTATAGATCCGAGGTGTGTCTTGAATTTCGTGGCTTTGGGACGACAACGATGATATAAAAAACCTAAAGTTAGATAATAATAATATGTTGTTTATTAAAAAAACGAACTTACATTATAGTGACTGTACTCTTTAAAATTGAGAAACTTGTTCCTTCGTTTCCTCTATCTGGTCGAATGACAGATTTTTTGAATTAGAGAATTGGTCTACTAAAACTATTTTTTTGACCTTGCTGTATTATACAACTACGTGTGTGCCGATAATGAACACTCGAGGAACAGTTGACGTAGTTCTGTTTTATAGTAGACCCTCGTAGACAAAGGCAATTGTAGTGTTAAGAGGTATTCAAAGAATCTCAGTTCTAGAGCACTCCTATCTACGACTCTTGAGCGAGCCTTCATTAAGAACTATGTGATGTATCATACATTAAGTACTAGTGACAACTGATTTGATTGATTTTGTGATGACCCGATCTCATATCGCTCAGATATAAGATTTTCTAAGTAATTTTGCAACATTATTTTTTTAAATCAGTTATTTACAAGACCTTATCACTGTACATAACATTGATCTGTTCCTACTAAATAGGATAAAGCAACAAATAAACTTTCCAAATTATAATATTAGTATCGAAGCTCTGTGTTGATACAAAACCATCGGGTTTACATATTAATTATTATTGTCGTCATTTTCCAGTGATTTACGGTTTTATTTGTTATGACAACTTTATTATAATTTTAATATAATAAAATTTACCTAATATAGGTCTGTTGCTTTCAGATTATCTTGCTTGTAATAAAAGAAGTTAATTTTAATCAATCAGTTAGTTAATGTAGAGTAAATTGACTTACTGATGATATTACATGTATCGTCTTATTGCTTAAAAGAAATAAACTGTAGTAAGCTGAGCTTTTAAGACATTTTACGACTTTACTGGACTTCTTAAGCTGTTTGCAAACAGAAATAAATGGCTGCTTTGATGTGTACTCTTGTTCGCATCGTAGAATGCAATATTATACTAACACAGTTTTATTTACTTGAATTGTTATATGATAAAGTTAACAAGTGCGAATTGGCGGACTTCACATGTCTTTCGAAAACTTACTAAGTTCTCTTAGATATATTTTTTTCTTTTATTTTTTCACTCAGTTTCTCTTTTCTACTCATTTATGAAAGCGTCATAACCAATCTGGATAGTTTATTTCATTGTATTCAACTAAGGTAGTTCACAACGTGCTTCTGAGAAATTTATTGTTCTGTAATATAAAAAAGTTAGAAAAATAAAGCCAACTAAATGTCAGTGCATAATAAATAAAATGTAGGGCACCAATTTTAACCTATTTTTAATATCCGTATTTACTTGTTACTTGATATTTTGAAAGTTAGTTTACTTCAAGGTACTAAAATGTAAGAAATATGTAATAGGATAGGATTTTTCGTATATAGTTTAGGTATCAGATATTTTGGGAGCCGGTGCCAGTCGACACATT